AAATTTGAGACGACTGAAAGGCGAAAGCTATTCCTGTTTTCTTCCGATTCAATGCAATGAATGTTTCCTACTTCCCTCTGGGATGTTTCTGCGTCCGACATGGTTACTGCCTCAAGGATCGGAGACAGATCTAGCTTTCTGCTCCTCAGCTGGTTATGCAATGCCCTCATGATCGGCCCATTTCAACCAAGCAAAGATGTTATATGATGCCGTCAGGTTATGTGACCTTCTAATACGTAACTAACATTTACGATATGTGATGTCACATGATGACGTTTTCAAGTAATGATGATTTCTTGCATCACTCGTGTTCACGCCGCCAACACAAGAAAACGCTGGACGCCGCCAGCGATCAATTTTCGCTTTCAATGAGGCATTGAAAGCTATCGTCTTAATGCACTGTACGGCTGCAGCTCTGTGAAATTGCAGGTTCAGGTGTTGCTGGTGTTCGGGGGAGCGTGCTTGCAGTAATCGGGCAGAACAATTGGTCATCTAATAAATCTTTGAACTACACTCTCTCTAATACGTAGCTGTCATTTGCAGCCCGACTATTTTATATATTATAAGTAGTGGTGGCTGAAAACTACTCGTCACGTTTGGCAACATGGCAATGAGAATCATTAAACGAGAGTGCGCTGCATCCGAACAGTCAACAAATTAGTCTATCAGCAGCAACACTGCCTCACGATCACTTCCGTGTGCAATGCTGACATTACGCCCCGAAGCTGATTGGTAGCCCATGGGTACTACACTGTCATTTGGCCTCTACTTTGCTCGCTACCGAATTAAGATGTCAGAGGGAAGAAGAAAAAAACAGAGGTGAGCAGCCGGATATTAAGGCTACAATAATCCATCCACCAATACGCAGACAAGCTCAAGCAACTGACCACAGGCCGCATTTTTCATGCCTGTCAACTTGACTCAAGTTGAGAGTTGGCATCAGACTTCAGACGATAAGAGTGCCTGTTAAAAACATAGGCAATGATCACAGAAATCGTGCCGCATATGATGCTATTCTTCTTTATTTCACAATGATTTCATTGTTTAAGCTCTCAAATGGTGAAATGACCTGCCATATAGTTCCTCATTTTCTGACACTTGCTTTTTCTCGGGGGCAACACATGTCATGCTTTGCGAAGGGAATGGATGATGACCTATATCCCAGGAAGCAGTCTAGTGGCATTTTGTGCTATTTAGTGCATGAACTCCAGGCTTGCGCATAATGTGCTATGCCACTAGAGAGTAGCAAGCATCGGGGAACATTAGGCACCCAAGCTTTTAGTAGGAGCTCCTGGCAAAAGCTTCTCTAAAAAAGATACTTTCGGTTAGTCAAAAAAGCAACTCTCAGTCAAGCAAACGCCACGGTGACAAAACGATATTCCATGGATTACTTGCATGATATATCCGATATCGGCCTAGCAGACGACGCGCAAGCGTCTCGATCAAGCAGTCATGAATGACTCATGCCTTTGAAATGAGCTGGGTGTCCAGAACAAGTGCTTCACGATTCTCGTTTCCAAGTTTCTATTACGCCTTACACAATGCGATTACAGCCGAAAACCGAGCCGTATAGCAGCTTTGAATGCAGCCACGGCATTCGTTTGCTCGAGAGACGACGCGGTGGCAACTCTACTCCATTTGTGGCACTTGGCGGCGCAACACTGCACTAGCACTGACGGCCGCTTCCCATTGAAATCTGCTGCTTCGCCCGGGCACTAAAAAAATAGAGAAGGCGCTAGTGCGGCTTAAACATTGATGCAGCTCTTGAGTACTTCACAGCTCCTCTTATTGATGTTTCAACCAAGTGTATCTTGCAATCTGGATAGTCTACCAGACGATGTGTTCTGTGGTGGAATAGTGAGCATCAAAATATGCCTAAAAAGCAAAACAAGGCATGAAGGTTGCTTCGTGATTCTTCTACAGCCAAAAATTTTGGGCAGTTTTAAAATCATAAAGTCTCAAGGAAAGAGAATGTGCCAACAGGCTGGAAGAGAGCATTGACAGGAGTTTTTGTCCGACATCAATTCACATACACAAAAAGGCAAAGTGATAGCTGGACGATTGGCATATCACTCCCTCCCATTAACACACAAGGCGACAGCTTGAAAGACACCAGGCTAACTTTTTCAGTGCACACTGCCAACAGGTCTCCAGCTCATCACACTATACTGAAGCGTCTTAAGGTTACAAAACTAGATTAGATAAACGAAAACTAGAGCGCAAATCCACAAAACACGAGGCATGCAATGAACCTTTCTGTTTAGCTGAGCAACAAGCTTCACTAAATGGCTGCAATAAATCTGCCTCAAGCTCCGACCGTGTGGCCCATGAAATGTTGAAACACCCGCCCTCTAAAACTTAGAGAGCCATACTCTTCTTGTATAACGCTGTATGATTTTACAGTGAGGTTCTCTCGGCTTGGAAAGAAGCCATTGTTATTCCAATCCTAAAACAGGGCAAAAACCCATTTTAAGTTTTAAGTTACAGGCCAAAAGCCTTAAGAAGTTGTATTTGCAAGGCTATTGAGAAAATGATAAGCAGACTGACACACTTTTTTCAAACAGTGTGGGTTTTAACCGGCTAAATCCAGCATTGACCACTTTGTCTGTATCGAGGCACCAATTCATCTTCCTTTAATTTATAAACAATTTTTTCTTTCTGTGCTCCTTGATATGGAGGCCTACGACACTACATGGCGCTTAGGCATACTGAGAGACCTCTCGCACTTGTGTGTATGGGCACGGCCGCTGGATAAAAAACAAGGTGCGACCTGCTGTGTGCCGCCAGAGTCCTTCAAAGCATTTCTGGTCACGAAACTCCGGCCGAAGTTTCATTCAGGGACAAAAGCTGCCGCTAGGATCGCCCCTGTTAGCGTGAAGGCTTCGCCGGCGGCCGGCGACGCTTGCGGGCCGGCTGTTTCTCCGTCGGCAATGCGCCTAATTTCATCTGCTCTTCATTTCCACCTGTAAAAACGCGACCTGTAAAAACGCGAGCGACGCGAGCGAAGTGTGCGTGTTTTTGATTCAGTTGACGCTTAGCTTAGCTGTGAAATAGAGGCAAGGCCACGCGTGTTACTGAGTCGTATATGTTGCAGCGTTCGTTCGTTGCGGTAGTCACGGCCACTACGTTCTCGCTTTGAGAAGGAGGACATCTGGCGTTTTCGATTTTTGAGTAGTCTTTGCAGTTTCCTGCATTTGAGTTAACTAGCACCAGATTTAAATCGGTATATACAGCCCTGGGCGACATGCTGCGCTTAGCAAATAGGTGTGCAAACGTACAGCACGTTGGGTTAGCGCTGTGTCTGCGCGATTTTATAGCGCGCTAAAAATGTACAAAAATAACCTAGGTTTGGTAAGTGAGCATCAATATGATGAAGAAAAACGCTCACGAAATGGAAGCAGCATAATGAGCGCGCGTAGGAGTAAATGCTACACACTTGAGCGACTTTCCCGGCTGTCAACATAGGTATAGGGTGTCAACAGAAAAACTCGTATGTTCAGTGTCTGACACACTCGTCCCACCAAAACGACAAGTTAATTGATTACTTGGTTATGAGGTTTAACGCGCTGACGCTATGCAGGCAATCGGGCGCGCGCCGTAGTGTAGCCAGAGTCCTTCAAGCATTGAAGGACTCTGGTGTAGCTTTCCGGAATAATTTTAACCACCCAGGTATCTTTAACATGCGCGGGAATCTCTAAAACACAAGCATTTTCTCTTTTCGCCTCCATCAGAAAAGCGGCTGGGAACCCGCGTCCTTGGGCTCATCATCATCAGCACAGCGCCCTAGCCCCTGAGCCACCGCGGCGGGGACACTAAAAAAAATTAAAAAAGAAATACAGGCAAAGCTAGCCATGCTCCGCTTTGCAAATTCAAAATACCTGATTGGATAATCAAAATGTCGCCGCCGTGGATTTTGGTTCCACCACACAGATGACAGTAACCTGACTGGCCACTTGCTGATCGTCGCAGGCAGCTGCCAAGCGCATGCAAATGACTAGAAAACGCGCCGCGGCTGTGGTGCAAGTGTTTATTCATACAAGTTTACGGCAATAGCATGGCGGATAAAGGAAATAAACAACGTCACACAAGCAACTAGGAACACAAATGTGCAAGTGTTTTTTGTCACTAGCAAACACAAAACACAACAGTTGGGCTTTACATAGCATGACAAACAGAACATCTGCTACCCATGGGGCTTGTTGCCACCATTTGCTGGGCAGTTTGCTCGCCGCGTCGCTCGTGTCAGCTTGTTTTTTTCCCTGGTGTAAAAGTGCAGGCGGCACCTCAAGAAAAAATGAACAACCTCTGCTGTGGTACCCACATAGTGCAACCTACAGCCCACACCAGCAGAGCAATGCGGCTGTCGAGCAAAACTTGGTCAACAATGTTCGCATACACATCGGCACATGCAACTGTGTCCACAGTCAGTTCTTCAACATGTCCTTCCACAATGCGCAACAGGCTGAGAAGCTGGGATGAGGGCACTTGCAGGAATCCTCTTGACTTCTTCTGGATTAGGTCAGTTGGCTCTCGTGTCTGGCTCTTGAGTGTTCCCACGCAGTCAGTGCAGCTTATCGTTGAAAACTTCTTTACCACGTAACCGGCAAGATAATCAAGAATGCACTCTTTGGTGGAGAGCGTAACGTCAGGCACGGATGCATTGTTCACTGCCTCTCCCGGCTCCTCAAGAACGTCATCAAAGAGGACCGCCAACATGTCAATCTGCAAAATACATTCCAAGTTTCAAATCTTTCAATGTATAAGTTGAGATTCGTAAATGCAAAAACACATTATGTTTCATTTGGTTATTTGGTCATTTGTGTAGTGAAACTGCTCCTGAAAAAAAGAAACTAGAGCTAATAAATAAAAGCAAGGGGCACGTTACCTGACTGGAGGCAGGTTTTCCCTTGTCAAAGAGGCCCTGGAGCTTGAGCAACAGCTGGGGTCCATCTCCCTCGACCGAGGCCCGTTTTGGCGGCCGAACTAAGTTGTTTACAGAGAGCATCCGATAGATGAACAAAAAATGTTGCACAGTCGGCTGCCCTCCGTCACCAGCAACATGCCTGACGATGCCGAAAAACCTCTAGAAAGAAAAAATCAATTTATCGCAACAATGAGAAATTCATAGCACATTTATACACATAAAAGTCATCATGTTTACCTCTAGAGGATCTTGTCCGAAGTTCCCAACGAGAACGTAACGAAACCCAGACAACAGCAAGCTCTCGATGAGTGCAACTGAGCTATGCAGTGTCAGTCTGAGGGCTCCACATGTCTGCTTACTCAGAAAGCAGACTTGCCTCTGGGTCGGTAATGTCTTGATGTATTTCTCCCAGTTGTCCAGCCATGCAATGCTGTCCTTCAACACCTGGAATAAAATTATGCTTCATCTATAGTACACGAAAAACACTTCATAACACATGTAATAATCTCACAGCAATGTGTTGTGCTTCGTTGAATCGAACATGGTCTGGCCTCCGAGAGTTCAGGCAGTCGAACAGCTTGTTCAATGTTCTTGTGAATTGCGATGTTGCAGCCGACCCATGGAGCTTCTTGCAGTCTTCCTGCTCGCTATAAAACTCCATGGCCGAAGCAGTACTCTCACTGAACAGCTGTAAAATGTGTGGAAAAAAAGGATTTTAAGTTTACTTCCCAAAACGTGTGAGCAGATGTTTTTGAAATACACTTTGCACTGAACATAGCTGCGTGCATGACTTGCCTGGACAGCCAACTTCACGCTCATCTTTTGGAACGCATTGGAGAAAATATGGGCTTTCGTTAACTTCGGTACAGCCCGGAGTCCAGCCTGTTTTTCTTCATAGTCCAGTAAGTCCTTGTAGTGACAGTGGAACACCTCCTGTCCTTGAGGGAGCTGCAACATAAGGACAAGTGACAAATTTTTTTTTTAAACTGAATAGTTTATGCACAGGTCAAGGCATTCACGTGCAACTTTTTTTTACTTACCAAAAACTTGCCCACTTTGAGCAAGTTGTTTCTGATGCACTTAAATATGTGCGGTGGATCAATTACAACGTGGACTTGCTTTGAGGGCTCACACGGGTGTTCAAAACACGTTTGAAGCTTGTGCATGTCCCCGTTGACACCTTGAGAGAAAAACAGTTTAATAGTACACTTGTTTTTCTACTACATCACTAACCACAGCTAAATAAAATTTGAAAAGACGTACCCAGAGATCTCAAGGCTGATTGGTTTGATGTGGAGTTGTCGCAGGTCACTGCGTCAACAACAACACCAGCGTTTGTAAGGTGAACAATGCACTGCAAAAGGAGCTTCGCCACGATTGATCCTGGGGCAGCACCAGAAGCACAAAATGTGCCCACAGTTTGTGACCACCCTCCCAGAAAAGGCCGAAACAGAAAGACCAGCACGTGGTCGCCGTCTTTGCCATGGTCACCTGGTCGTGTGTGTTCGGCGAAATCCACCTTGCCCAGCAGTGCCATGTCCGACTCGCGAATGTGGACGCTTTTTCTGACGCTCATTTCATCGAACATGAGCACTCCTGGAAAGTTTTGGGTAGGTTAACATCTTGTCTCAATTGCGCTGCTGAATATAATACAATTATAAAAATGAGTACTGCTTCTTACCTCGACGCTCTCTTTCTGGAACTGCTTCTAGCTTTTCACACAGAACCGTGAACAAAGTGCTGTCGAAGCCAAAATCAGCTTTCAGATTTCTGAGGTAGCCATAGAGGGTGCAGGGATTTGGAAGGGGCAAAAATTCATTTCCATGAAGAAAAGTGTAGACTGCTGTGGACTTTATCTTTAGCAGCAAGCAGTCATAAATCCACTCTTCTTTGTACCTGGAGAGAATGAATTGCAAATTTGTTTTCCACAATGAGCGTGTTGGAAACTATTCATGCAAAGCAAAAAATAATGAGAATGGTGTTATAAAAACTGAAGAAAGTATATTTGCCCAAACAAACCTGCAATTTTTCCCGAAATTAGAAATAACACTACACAAAATGGCCAAACCAATGTCTGCCTCAATAGCATATTGTTTTGCGGTACAACAGATACAAATACATGATGAATAAATGAAGGCTACACCTTGAGATAACATTTTCAAACGCAAAAGGGGCAATCCAATAGCAATGTTACGTGTGTGATGGGGTATTTGGAACTTACCGCGCAGCTGTTGCAGACTTCGCGTTGGCTTTCATGAGCCAGTGGTCAAAAATGAGCTTCTCGCGAGCCGAAAGCTTCTGAACGTCTCGGTGCGATCTTCTGCTCCTATTCGCTTGCATTGTCAATTTCGCAATCTTCACTTGGCACAAACGAAGTTGCTGCTTAGTGCTTCGAAGCTGGTCTTTAACTGCGTGGAGCTCTGAGATGGAGCAGACATTTCCCTCTGTCTGGCATGCCATCTCTGTGCAGCTTCCAGTGCTTATCACTACACCTGTCAAACGAAGAAATATGGATCAATATAATGCGACATCACGCAGCACACAGGCAATACAGGCTCTCAACATAGTGAAACAAGAAAACAAGGCAACGCGAATGGAGGCTTACCATCATCTCCGGCTGCTTCAGGATCGCAGGGCTCTGTGCTGGAGCTCACAGAAGCTGCAGTGCCATCGTTGTTCGGCGACGAAACGCGACGACGTTTTGCAGGCGGATTTTCTCGCTGTGAGCGCGACCGTGGCTTGGGCTTTGTAAGATACGCCGGCAGGTTTTCAAATATCCGGGGTATGGCACCGACGCGGAGCTTAGGCTTCTCGCGCTGCAGAAGCACAGATTGTCCACTTATTCTGAACTCATCGGCTCGAATAATGTCCGTGCTGTCGAAATGTTTCTCGCACACACGAACGGCCTTCGACTCGAAGTTGAAAGCGCCCGTCTCCTGTCGTGGAATGGCTCGCTTCCACCTGTCGCGTTGTTCGCGGTCGCTTGGGAGGCAGAACAGCGAAGCTTTTTCTGTACAACTCCGATAGCCAGAGCGGCAACCAGGTACGCAGCACGTCAGAGGCATGGTAGTTCACATAGTTTGCCGTCCGTGATGAGTGTAGACAGCTATACCACACAACAAACAAACCAGTAAGCTCGCGCTCCAACGCACTGCAAACGCTGCAAATGCGGCCGCCGCCGTCCAAGCCGCCTTCACCAGACTCGTAGCGCCACCGCGCGGGAGCTTTGATCCCCATATGAAGCTCTCCCATAGCGTTACGGAGAAGTTTCGTGACCAGAAAAGTATTGAAGGACTCTGGTGCCGCCAAAGCGGCAGCACGGGCCTAGTTTACCTCGAGCTTGCTCTGGCGCCATCACTTCTCCCAGGAGAAACGCTTTCACACGCATTTCTACTCGGCACAGCAGGCCGTAAATAATGCGTTTCGTAGCTGCACATCACATGTTCGATTTGGAATCGTTATTAGGAGTAAGTATTACACCACATATGTTAACAGTTTGCCCTAGGAGGGCCAATAATTCATGGAGTATAGGCCTCAATACTCTTCATAAATGCTGCCTGTTTAAATCACCTGAAATGAAAAGGGTCACTGATTCCGTTCATGGGGAGGCAATCGACAGGCAGATTCCAAGGGGTGATGTATCAGCCCATTGAAAAGCACCGCAAAAGCACGCTCAATTTAAATGTTGGTTCTTTTAGTGCATTACTAACGCCGGTTGCAGTCCAAAGATCGAGTTAAAGAAGCAAAAGTTTACAACACAAACAAAATATTGTGATGACGCTGGATCGACGAGCACACAAAGCATCTGAAAAAAATACGCTTCATCGATCGCAGGAAAAAAACCAACGACTTCGTCTTTTGCACTCGGTCAAGGACACTCGCGCTGCTTCATTGTCCCCACCACTGGCACATACGCGTGGCATTATTCCCCCTTGAAAAAAAAACATCGCCCCGATGCTAAACATTTGACAAGCAAGGCGAAACCTAAACTGCACAGTTAGTCACTGAAAGTAAGGTTTAATCCGAAGCATGTGGACAATTTCTGGTGAATATCTGCGGCGCTTCGAACACTGCACGCCGTCCGTAACAACCTCGTAGTTGACGTCACTGATGCGTCGCAGAACCTTGTAGGGTCCAAAGTATCTTCGCAACAGCTTTTCAGAGAGCCCACGTTGGCGAATATGTGTACAGACGCATACTTTGTCTTCTACTTTGTATATGACGAGTCTGTTCCGAAGGTTGTATTGTTTGGCATCGTCGTCTTGTTGTTTGGTGATTCGCAACCTGGCAAGTTGTCTGGCTTCTTCTGCTAGCTGGGTAAACTCTTTGGCATCCGTCTCATTGCCATCATTTCATGAAAGAGCATTGAGTCTAACGTTGTCGTAATCTCGCGTCCGTAAAGGAGACTGAAGGGTGTCTTCTGAGTGGTCTCCTGACGAGCTGTGTTGTTTGGGAACGTGACGTAGGGCAAAATGGCGTCCCAGTTCTTATGCTCTACATTTACGTACATGCTTAGCATATCAGCCAGGGTCTTGCTGAGGCGTTCGTGAGCCCGTTGGTCTGGGCATGATACGCCGTTGTCTTCCTGTGAGCTGTACCTCTTAGTCGGAAAATGGTGTCCAAAGGCTCGGCCATGAACGCAGTACCTCTGTCGGTGATGACTATTGCGGGAGCACCGTGTTTTAAGATCATGGCTTCGATGAAAAATTGCGCAGCTTCAGCTGCCCTTGCCTGTGGCAGAGCGCCTGTCTCCGCATATCGGGTCAGGTAATCTGTGGCGACGATTATCCACCTGTTTCCAGTGGCAGACTTTGGGAAAGGGCCCACAAAGTCCATGCCAATTTGTGTGAACGGTGTCGCTGGCATTCGGACAGGCTGCAACAGGCCAGCTGGTTTGATGGATGGTGGCTTGCGACACTGGCAATCTAGACATGCCTGCACATAATTTTTGACAACTTCGGCAAGTCTTGGCGAGTAATAGTTCTGCCTTATCCTCGCCAATGTTCTTGCGTAACCTAAGTGACCAGCGGTAAGTTTGTCGTGGCAGGCTTGCAGTACCTCACGGCAAAGCGAAGAAGGAACGACGAGCAAGTAACTGCTGCCCACGGGTGAAAAGTTCCTCTTATAAAGAACGTCATTTCGCAAGCAGTACGTCGGCAGTCCTCTCGCAAATAACTTCGGCATGCTATTCGTTCGCCCTTGCAGGTAATTTATGAGAGGTAGCAGTTCAGCATTGTCACGCTGCTGTTGAGAAAAGGCGGCAGTGTCCACGATTCCCAGAAAAGCCATGTGGTCATCGTCGTTGTCCGGGTATGCAGTCTCAACAGGAGACCGAGAAAGACAGTTGGCATCGGTGTGTCGTTTTCCCGACATGTGGGCAACAGTGAAGTCAAATTTTTGGAGCCGAAGACTCCATCGTGCAAGACGGCCAGACGGATCTTTCAAGTTGACTAACCAACAGAGAGAGTGGTGATCGCTGATTACGGTGAATGGGCGGCCATACAAATAAAGACGAAACTTCAGGACTGCCCATACCATGGCAAGACATTATTTCTCCGTCGTAGTGTAGTTAGCTTCCACTCGGGCGTATGCAAACATCCCCTGTGCATCGTTGTTGTCCTTCGACTATACAAGCACTGCTCTAAGACCCACATTACTTGCGTCTGTATGAAGTATTGTTGGCGCGTCTTCATCGAAGTGGACTAGCACAGTGGGTGTTTGCGTGCGCTGACGAAGCTCGTGAAATGCCTTCTGTTGGTCTTGGCCCCATCTAAAGGGGGTATCTTCCCGAGTAGGCTGTGTCAATGGCCATATGATGCGCAAAAAAATTAGCAATATACCACCGTTAATAGGCACAGAGTGCCAAAAAACGTCGCACTGATTTCTTTTGTCTGATGGCGTCGAGAAATCGCCACGGCAGCAATTTCATCTGGGTCGGGTTGGATCCTTTGGCTGCTCACGACTGGACCGAGGAATTGAAGTTCATGGAAGCCGAAGTGGCACTTTTCAGGTTTTAGAGTAAGACCGGCCAAGCGCATTGCTTCAAAAACTGCTTCGAGCCTTCATAAGTGTTCCTCGAAAGTCGCCGAAAAGACAATCACGTCGTCGAGGTACACCAAGCAGGTTCGCCACTTAAGTCCCGACAGAACTGTGTCCATGAGACGCTGGAATGTTGCTGGCGCCGAATACAAACCGAAAGAAAGTACCTGAAATTCATAAAGTTCATCAGGCGTAACAAAGGCGGTCTTTTCACGATCTCTCTCATCCACTTCAATTTGCCAGTAGCCGCTTTTCAAGTCCATGGACGAAAAGTAGCGTGCGTTTCATAGTCTATCCAATGAATCATCAATTCGCGACAGAGGGTAGACGTCCTTCTTCGTGATCTGATTGAGCTTCCGGTAGTCGACGCAAAAACGCAAGCTGCCATCCTTCTTTTTGACGAGTACTACAGGTGATGCCCAAGGACTGTTAGATGGCCGAATAACACCATGTTCTAGCATCGTTTTCACCTGTTTTTGAATTGCCTCACGCTCCTTTGGGGCGACTCGATAATGATTTTGCCGGATGGGTCTGGCGTTGGAATTCGTGATCATGCAGTGTTTTGTCAGTGCCGTTTGACCAACTCTTGATTTGGATGAGAAGCAGCCGTGGAACGTGTTGATCAGTGTGAGAAAACGGTCTCGCTCAATGGGAGATAACGTTGGACCAACATCGTCAGGTGTCGGTGTAGTGATAGTAGATGCTGCTGCTTCCTCCACTAAATGACAATCTTCTGTATTAGAGAGTTCGTCGAAGTAAGCAATAGCCGTGCCTTTAACTATGTGTCGGCGTTCTCTACTGAAATTTGTCAATAAGGGTTCAGCGCATCCGTCAATAACAGTGATCACAGCCCTTGCAACTGTAATGATGAATGTAGTGGGTCATGCATAGCTCGAAAAACACATCGTGAGTGCTAAGCATGAGACGCTCGCGCCGGATGTTATCGCTGCTTTCGCTGGTTAGGCCTACGCTCCTACCTGGTTTCAAATAACAGTTCTGACTGTCACAGTTCTTTATTATATTTGGTGGAGTTTGCTTAGTCTCCTAGCAATCCTGGAGTTGCAAAGCCGGACTCGACCTGCCGCTATGACCACTGCATCTGCCACAAGCCCTCCGCCTATGGCTCCCCAGGCTATCGTGTGCTCTAGCGCGGTCTGTCAGCGGGACCCTCCCATATTCAGCGGCACGGACAATCACGATGTCGACGACTGACTGGCTACCTACGAACTCATGAGTGTCTTGAACAAATGGGACGAAGCCACTAGA